GTTCAGTATAATTTCCCTTTGAAGCAAATGAAGGTCTTGTTTGATGGCATAATTATTTAGTAATAATGTGCTTATGCCATGCATCTTGTCTATATAATATTTGTAAAGCTTCAATAAGTTATAAATTTTGTAAGGCCATACTATAAGGCTTTCATTGATCACTGGAATTAAATTCCAACATGACAATTTTGAACCTCTTTAATCTTTAAACACATTTCCTCAAAAAAAAATAAGGATTTAGAAAAGAATATTTTGTGTCATTATTTATCAAGTCAAACCCCCAACTTACAAACTGAGCACAATACCAGGGTTTTAAAATCGACCTTCCCTACTGTCCATGTTTACAGATATCTTGCTTTGTTCCTTTTGTATTACTCTTGCTAGTCCTGTTTTAACTGAGTTTGAACTACCTGATTGAACTTGTAGAATTACTCCTACTTGGTTTGCCAAAACACTGTGTAGGAACTATAAAAAATGGGACACTTCTTGTTTCTTCCTCTTTTTCTTTCTTTCCTTTCAGGATATTGTAGTAGAAACACCAATATAGAACTTGTCCTGAGCTTAGGGATATCTTTCACTGATGACTGAACTCTTCTACACATGCTTACATACATACACATAATTTCTAATATTTAGATTTTAATGTATTCTTTCTTTTCAGCTATTTTGGCATGAATTCAAGTATTTTTTTTATTTCTTGTTAATCATCTGTTAGCCTGTTTATAAAACACATAAAAATATTGTTGTGTTGAAATTTATTCTGTTTCTTTTCTCCCATACAAGTAATGACATCCTGTTTTTTAAATGCAACTATTTACTCCTGCTTTAGTATCAAGTCTGACAGATTCAATAAAGTAAAACTGGCAACTGCTCTTGAAAAGGACCTCCAGGCAGTGGTTAACTGGGGCAAGGAATGGCTTGTAAATTTTAACGTGTCTTGAGAGACTCTTGAGCCTTAAACTCACACCTGACCTCAAGTGGAACTTGTACATACTAAAGATGCAGGTAAGATGGTCGGCTCCCTATACCACTCCAGTAAGAACCTAACTCCATGTGCTATCCTCTATCTTTACAAGAAGAGTCAGATCAGAGGCCAAAAATGGAGTAATGTTGGCATATTTGGGTGGGTGGGAGCTGCACAGATTCCATTTTCTAATCTTGATAGACTCCAATAGCATCTCTGAGTCCTTGTGGGTGACAAATTATTTTCTACCCTCCAACCTCTCTTTCACAGGTGGGATGTGGCAAGCATCTCCAGATGAACTAGATTCCTTGGTTCCACCAGACCTAACCTTCAGGGCAAGGACTAACCATGACACTTGCATTGTAGCAAACCACCCACATTCCTTCTGTATTGCATTGGTGAGAAGAAGGTTCTGCTTGAACAGCTTCTTCCCATGAACCATTCCTCTGTGTAACCAACTCCCAAGGGAATGCTTTCCTGAGCACTACAATCTTAACCTGTTCAAGTCCAGGATTAACCATTACCTTCCTCTTCAATCCATACAAACTGCCTCCTAACATAACCCTCTACCTTGAGTGACCCCCAGGCCTTGTATAGAGTGAACCTTACTGTAAAAAAAAAAAGAAAAAGAAAATAAAACTACTTTCATTTAATTGCCATAGAAAACCTTTTCTGCCTTCTCTTACCATGGCTGATGCTAACCTCTTTCCACCTTCTTTGGCTCATTTTTTTCCACAAACATCAAATGGAATTATTATATTGAATCAATTGCTTTGTCTACTGCTACAGAAGTTGGTTCACTGTGTTGTGCAAGTCAATTTTTCTTTCCAGAATCCATTTTGCCCATTTATAAATTTACCATGTGTCTAGGCATTGTATATTGCAGCCATATACAGTCTTGTGCTCCTGCTTTATATTTTGAGATTCTTGACAAAATCTAAAGAAAGGTCTGTTATACAATCAACCCTGACCTGACATTTCAACTTCAGTCACTTTCTCATTGCTCTGTTGTAGCTTCCCTCTGTCTTTTCTATTAATATTTTCATAGCAATTGTCCTTATGAACTTTCTTCCTTGATGCCTCAACTGTTAGATGCAACGACATGTTCAAATTCAAGTAGCTTCTGTTCTCATACTTCTTGACTGTGGAATGCCTTTCAGATTTCTTGTTTCCCTGCTACCTTCACAATCTTTAAAAATTTAAAAGGCAGTACCAATTGTCATCTGCCGTCTTCCTAAGTCCTGTTCTTTTAGTGCCCTTTCCCCTACTAAGGTCTTTTTTATTCTCATACCCATTGCATCTTAGTGGCATTATTGTCTTGCTTGGAATTAAATTATAAAAAAAATATGTGTGAATATTATTTGCCATTGCCTTTAGACCAACTAGAAGTAGATTTATGACGAGCCTTGTTTGACTCCTGTTTTTGGTTAGTAAAATATGACATATACATTATAATATATTGAAGGATTTATTATCAAAAGGATTCGGTAATTGTAGTTCAGTAGATGTATGAATGTTCTTGTAATGTTATTGTTAGTAAATGTTTTTGACTTTTTTGTTTGTCTGGGTGAATGAATAAATTATTTGCAAGTGATAAGTCTATCATTAAAAGGGAATGTTAAACATGAGAAAGTGATATTTGTGTAAAAGACTTATCTATAGTCTTCATTTCTGGAGCTGCTCATTTCCACGTGCTCTCCTTGTGAGCAACCAATGTAAAAGAGGAAGTCTTTAAATTTCCCACCAATAGGGTGATTTTGTTTTCTCTATGGAATCATGGGAATTAGTTGTTTTTTTTTTTATTTCTTGTGATCACAAGATCACCACAAACTCATAGTTACGATACTTCAAAGATAAAGATGTTAGTCCAACTGTAATAATAAGTAATCAATAAGAAATCCAAACAAAATATTTAGGTCAGTTATCAGCCTAGAGTTAAAACAAATTTTTCCTTCAGCGTTGTTGTGTTTGTTCAAATTTTCAGACAGAGATCTGTATATGAAAACTCAAACCAAAAAAAAATTAGCACTGCAGTAATTTCCATTTCACTGCTTTCTAAATGAGACCCCATTAGTTGCATGTTTGAGTGATGGAAGACATATTCAGTCATCCATAGTGTTTACATGAATATTTAAAGCCATATTGATCCTGCAATTATTGTATCTGGGGAAAACAAAAAAAAAAAAAAAAAAAAAGAAAGAAGAAAAAAAGACATTGATCTTATAACAAAGTAACAGGAATATGTTAAAACACCTTGATTAAAAAAATCTTGCATAAATTTAAAAACTGTTTAATTTCACTTCCATAAATATGCAAAGGCTTAACCAAGTTGTGCATATTTTGTAAACTATTAGTGGCCATATTGGATAAAAGTATATATACTTGTATACAGTGATGGCCCTAGGGTTTCTGGCACCCTGGGGAAAATGAACTTTGGCACTCTTCCATTAATAATTTTTAGAAATTTTCACAAGGAGAAAAACTGAAAATGTAGAATAATGAGTTTATTATATTATACAACTTAATACAAGTTAAAGAATACATTTTCTTTTTTTTTAGCCTTTAGATCAGTAAATCTTTTCATGACACTTTCTGTACCAATCCTCTTTACAAGATCATTTTCTATTGACAAAGAATTTAATCTATCTTGAGTCATGGATGACTGAAAGTACGTTTTAATGAGCTTAAGTTTTGGAAGATCCCAAACACATGACATAGCACCCCAGACAACTGTCAAAGTTGCCAGTACCTTGAGCCAACACTGAATCTATATTAAACAGAATAACTGCTTTCATATTATTCTGGGCTTACAACTATATTGCATTGAAATACTGGTTCTCAACTGATTACTGAAGTTAAGCAAAGTGGAGCTTTGTCAGTACCTAGATGGGTGACCACTTAGGAATACAAAGTACCATAAGCTTGAATATTCAGTTTTTGCAATGGATAATTGCTCAGAATGAGAAATTGAAGAGCCGATTTCCAATTCCATTCAGGTTTGTTATATTCACATGTGCAAAGATCTTTAAGAAAGGTATGAACCCACCTCTTCCCTCCCCAGCTATAGGTTAAATAGTAGGTCTTGTATGAGAAAACTCCTATTATCTTCAAAAAATTGTTGCAATTGAAAAATAGCTTTAAATAACCTGCAAAAGGCCGATAAACCATAAAAATGAAATCAATCAATCCATGTTATTCGAAGTTCAGTAGAACTGAAAAGAAAATTTAAAGAACTGAATTATTCTTCTGTGTTATGTCCCTTCAGGATATGGGTGATTATGGCTCTCTACAACTTCCTATCCTTTGTAGCTGTTAATAATGTTCTTTTTTTTGTCCCTTCAACTGTCTTTTCTACCATCCAATTTACACAAGTTTGTTAGGTAAGTTACTCACCATTTCTCCCTTATCCTGTCAATATGATTTGTGAGTATCAAATTTGCCAAGTCCTCTTTCCTCCTTATTTATCCCAGAAATTTCAATTGTCTCTTTCTGATATGAAGTATGTGTCTTTTTTGTTTGTATTTTCCTTAAAGCTTCCACATTGTCTACATGCTCCTTCCATGGTATTCACAGTATTCTTCTGTAGAACCACATCTGTTGGCTCAAGTTTTCTCACCAACTGAAAGGAAACTGTCTAGTATTCACTGCCAGATATGGAAAAAAACAATCTCTTAACGATGTTGTGCATATTTTATAAATTATTGGCAGCCATGTTAGAGGAAAGCGTATGCTCTATATAGTAAATAGAACAATTAGTTCCATATTATTCTGAGTTGAGTCAAATTGATCGATTCATTCAGTTTCTAAAACTTTACAGGTTATTTAAAGCTGAAAAATATTTTTAAATTGTAAGTATTTTTTTGGGGGTAATAATGATTTAGTGATAAAAGTCTTAATAATTAACCCATAGCTAGAGGGAGAAGAGATAGATTCATACCTTTCTAAATGGTATTTGTGCACAAGTGAATAAAACGAACCCAGCTGAAATTAGGACTTCGATTAACAATTCTGAGCCATTATCCAATATACATCCAAGCTTACAGCACCTGGTATTCCCAAGCAGTCACCCATCTAGGTACTGACCAGGTTGCCATTGCTTAACTTCGGTGTTCCAATGTGATATGGCTATAAGCCCAATCAAATAAAAAATAAAGTTAAGTCAAGCTTATCTGTAGAGACTGTGATCTCAATTTTTTTGAGGGACTCAGAAAACTGTTGTCCTATATACTGGCAATCAGATAAAAATTGATCAACTGATTTGTGTTTTATTGCTTATCTTATTTAAAGCCAGCATCTATTTTTTTTAGATCATAAGAATTTTTTGAAGATAATAATGATTTATTGATAAAAGTCATACTAATTAACTCACAACTGGATTGGAGAAGAGGTGGAATCATACCTTTCCCAACGGTATTTGCATATAACTGAATATTCTGAACTTGACTGGAATTGGAACTTGGACCTCTGATTTCCAATTCTGAACCATTATCCATTACACCACTTGTACATCCATTATCCATTATACCACCTGCACATCCAAGCTTACAGCACCTAGTATTCCCAAGTGGTCACCTCTCTAGGTACTGACCAAGCTTGGAGTTGCTTAACTTCAGTGATCCTACAAGAACTGGTGTTCCAATGTGATATGAAACCCAATCAAATAAAAAATAAAGTTAAGTCAAGCTTATCTGTGCAGACTATGGTATCATTTTACTGTGTTGAGTCATTCATTTATATTACCCGTATAATAAAGGAAGTATCAAGTTGTCTTGAGTTAAAAATAAATTGCATCGTTGACAATGAAAGTCTCACGAAGGCTTGTATTCTTCTAAATAAATAGAAAATAAAAAGTTGTGATTGGATGTGACAATGATTAAAGATCTGTGAGACACAGAGGATAGATAAACAGTGTAACCTGGATGCTTACATTACAACAGATTATAAACTGCTTGATCAAAAGGATTATCAACAGAAAAATGAAGAGCTGCTCTTGGTAGGGATACAGTGATTCAGTAAGGGGTGAATCCATAACTTTCCCAAGGGTATTTGTACATAAGTGAATATAATATACCCAATAGGAATTGAAACTTGGTTCTCTGATTAATAATTCCAAGCCATTATCCATTACACCACCTGCACATCCAAGCTTACAGCACCTGGTATTCCCAATTGGTCATCTATCTAGGTACTGACCAGGCTCACTGTTGCTTAACTTTGGCGATCGTATAGGAACCATTTCAATGCTATATGGCCGTAAGCATTGAGTTCAGTCAGAGAGGAAGCTTAAAAAATTCCTACTGAATATTTTTTTTTAAAAACATCACAGGATTAATTTCTCAAAAGACCTGCAGGTATCTATTAGACATAACTTCAATGAAGACACTGATTTTTTTTTTTTTTTAAAGTCACTGCCTCTGCAGTTTAATTCTAAAGAAAATTAATATTGATTTTTCTTCACTATAAATAATAATTACAAACTAGAGCAAGTCTTTAAATTTATCTGTGTCGTATGAATTTCTCTTCACATTTTCATGCATCCTTTTGGATGCCGAATAAACTCCCTACCAGTGCTTGTTAATTTGTCAATTTTCCCAACTCTTTGCTCTTTTAATTTCTGATTTTTTTTTCAAGGCCATTTATTTATATTAAAACATTAGCAAGACTTCATAGAAATATTTTCATTGACAAAATAGAACAGGTGATTTTATTAAGCAACTCAGGAATGTGAAGGTTATATATGTCAGCCCATTTCAGGAAATAACATTGGGAAGAACGTCTACACAAACATCATCGAACCAATCTTCAGAAACGCCAACATACAGAATGAATATTCTGTGTTTGGTTCACAATTCAAACAAATATCACCTGAAGAAGGTTGGTGTGTACAAAGACTGAAACTTTGTGGATGTGATAATAAAAATGAGGACAACAGTCTGAACAAAGTATAAAGTGTAAATAGTTACAATAACTCATCTCAGAAATATAGACAGAGCCTGAAGAAGGTTGAAACATACAACAGCCGAAACGTCCTGAATATGATGATAAAGATGAGGTCAACAGTCTGAACAGTGTGAATAGTATAAATAGTTACAATCATCTCAGAAATATAGACAGATAGATAGTTCATTAATGTATTTTACTTAAAGACATTGATGGACAATTTTTTTAAATTATTTTTTAAAATCATTCCCACCCCCAGCAAGACAATAATGCCACTAAGATACAAGAAGTTACTGAGAGTGGAAGAGAATGAGAAAACCTTAGTGAGGAGAAAGGACAGGCACCAGGAAGACAGAAGATGGCAGTTGACATTGCATTTAAATCTTTGAAGAGTGTAGGCAAGCAAGAAATCAAAACTGGGTCCCACAGGCAAGAAGTGTGAGAAAAGAAACTATTGGAACAGAACATCTGGTTAGATCTAACTCTTTCAATAGTAAAAGGAAGAGACCTAGTAGCCAATTTAGTAGGATGCTTAAATTCATGTACTCAAGATACTAAGAAGGAGAGCTCATTAGAAAAATTTCCATGAAAATATTTATAGAAAAGGCAGAGGGAAGCCATTTCAAAGAAGCAGGAAGGTGACTGAAGTCAAGATGGCCGATGAGGACTGAGAACATTACAGATACTTCTTTGGACTTTATTAGAAAATGTATATATCTCAAGATATATAGCCAAGGAATCAAACCAGATGTGGCAGCAATATTCAGTTTATGGACGAATGGTAAATTTATAAAGGTGTAAGATAGATTCTGGTAAGAAAAATTGTATAGCACAACACAGTGAACAAACTTTCTTAACATCAGACTTAGCAATTCATTTAACACTCCACTTCATGTCAGTAGAAAATATGAGACAGTGCAAGGAATTGTTCTCTTGGAGGTTAGCATCAGCCATTCTGATAGAAGGCAAAAAAGGCTTCTCTATCATGATTCATTTTTTAGATGTTAAAATTTACAAGCCATTTCCTGCCCTGGTTAACAACAGGTTTGAGGTAATTCTTGAGAGCAGCTGTCAGTTTTATTTTGTCTGACATATTAGTTCTATTTCTCTGAGATCTTATAGTTTAAAAGACTTGTTTCCAATCATGTCCTATTTATTACAACCTCCCACTTATTATATTTCCTCATTACTCCTAATGCCCATATTTTATTACCTCTCTATTTTCCTGATCTGTTTTTGCCCTTCGCTATTTATGAGAAACCCTCCTTTTATTTGGCACTTGACTGTATAGCTTCACTTAACTGTAGTTAAATTATTATCAGCACCAGTCAAGCTTTGCAAAAGCTACACTGATATATAACAATGGGACCTAACTGCCAATCTTGTCAGTAAGTCACTTACGCGCCATATGGGATATACACTTGAGGTAATCATGTCTCTTTCGATTTGTGACTGACTAGGCAGAAGATTTTCCTGGAGTAGGTTGCCATTTCTTTCTACAGTAGACTTGTTCTCAAACTAGGCTACAGGACCAAGTCTGTTCTATTATTTAACCCATAGCTGGGGAGAAAAGAGATGAATTTATACCTTTTCCAAGGGTATTGGTGCTTAAGTGGATGTAACCAACTTGACTGGAAAATCAAACTTGGTTCTCTGATAACTCTTTGCGAGCTGATATCCATTAGCCAACAATGCCCCAAAGCTACAATAATATATGAAATTTGTATGTATTTTAATAAATTTAATCACTGGGCAGTGAAATTCTTCTTTAAAGGGATGTTTAAAGCACGTATCTTGTCATGTAGTAGGCATACCCGTCTCAAACTTTCCGAAAGCTACAAATGTTAAAGTAAACAACAATCAGAGATTGCTCTGAAAATTTCTGGAAAAAGCTACCAACACAGAAAAATCCAGTTCATTTATACAACCATAGATAAGTTTTAAAATTCAACCAAGAGAAAGTTTACCCTATTAACCCAGATAGTTGCATGTAACTGAGATAGTTGTTTGGGTGATTTTGTTTAGCAGCATATCAACATCTCTATGGGTATATTTAATGCTGAAATCTAAATAATTGGAACACAATTTTATGGCTTCAACTAAATATATTTTGAATGCAATTGTATGACTTCAAATACAGATAAAATGTATTGCTGGTATTTTTACTATTAAAATGTATTTTTTTACTTTCATAATGTTTCGGTGACGGGGGTGGGGTAACTATTTGCCCATAGCTGGGTCCCTAACAGGTGCTACCACCCGGGCTCAGGGCTCTGGGAACAACAGCAATTAAGAGGTGGTTCCATGACCCTCAAAACTCTACAATCTCCCAATCAGAGGCCTTATTGGTGGATGTAGTTTATCGTCATATTCAGGACAAGAAACTGAGATAGGTGGAGAGAGCTGATGAGATGTTCAGCTGCGCAGTGACCCTGAAACCAGATCTGGTCATGGAACTGATGATAGTGTTTATGATTTTACAGCACATATATGAGTCAAGTACAGAAACAGATCAACAAGTTTGGGATTATTTTGACTTCAGCAGAACTACCTCTGCTGAGAGTTTTAGTTTTATATTTGGGGATATAATTCCTGTTACAGAATTATTTTTTTTTTTTAAGCATTTCACCCCAAGCAAGGCAAGAAGCCACTAGCACACAAGGGATTACAGAGAGTTGGAGGGAGAGCAAATAGGAGTGATAGAGGAAAGGATGAATAGGAGGATAGGGGATAGATTAGGGCATCTGGAGATGTCGATTGACATTACATTTGAATAGTTGGAGATTATAGCTATCAGGGAAACAGGAAGAGGGGAGGGAGTTCCACAGGCAAGAGGTGTTAGACATGAAGGTATTGAAGTAGAGAACGTTGACCCTATTAACCCAGATAATTGTATGTAACTGAGATAGTTGTTTGGGTGATTATGTTTTGCAACATATCAACATCTCTATGGGTTATTTAATGCTGAAATCTAAATAATTGGAACACAATTTTATGGCTTTGACAGTGAAAGGGTGTGAACATGATGCCAGCCTAGTAGAACGCTTAAATTCATGAAGCTCCTTGGAGTAGTTACCATGAAAGTATTTGTAAAAAAGACAGAGGGAGTTGACTGCAGACAAGATGCCAGATCAGGGCCAATTACGTTGCATATCTGTCTCTGGATCTTATCAAGAACCTTGAGACAAACAGAAGGGGCTCCAGACCATATATGGCAGTTAAATTCATTTTGAAATTGATGCATTATTTTGTGAAGATGTTCTAACCAAAAATAGAAAAATGAAAATATACCAGGGGCATCATAGAAAGGAAATGTGAATAGATTCCATATAAATATTTAATAAGATAAGTGTAGTCTTGAATCATTCTTACTTTACAGTCGGTGGTCACCCTTCCCACATGGGTATCCACACTGGTTCACCATAAGACTCACTCTGTAGTTTCTCAGAGTGGATGCTATCAATCTAATGTCTAGAATATGTTGGGGCATGCAGTCAACTAATACATTATTTACTGAATGTCTTCTTCAATTAGCCAGATTTATTAATCCAATCAGATTTTATTACTTAAATCTTATTTTTATTTTTAGTGGATATAATGCTCTGTATATGTATATTTCAGTTGAGCATGGCTTATTTAATGCTGACAAAATTTTTATTGCTGGTAATATGTTTTTCTTCAAAAATCTATTTCTGGGAATATTTTTCCTTGAAGAAATCCATAGCTGGTAATATTTTTTTCAAAGAACGTCTAGCTGTTTGTATTGCTGGTACTTTTTTTTTTTTTTAAAGTATTGCTGATAATTTTTCCTTCAAAAATTATTGCTGGTAATAATTTTTTTTTTTTTTACAAAGTATTTCTGGTATTAAAAACTATTTTTACACAAGTTTGTGTATTAACTATTTGCCCATAGCTGAGACCCTAACAGATGCTACCACCCCGGGTCAGGGTGGACCTGGGAACACCAGCAATTAAGAGGCAGTTCCATGCTCCTCAAAACCTCCTGATCTGAGGTCTTGCTGTTGGACGTAGTTTATCGTCTTACCCAGGATGCGGATGTAGTTTATTGTCACACCCAGGATGAGTCTGCGAATGACATATATATATATATATATATATATAATATGGTGTAATAATATATACAAGTTTAATATATCAAGAATAGTTTTAAGGGAAAGAAGTATGACAAAGCAGTATAGGTTTTTATGGGACGTGTTTTGTCCTTGAGAATTTAATTGGACTTAGTTTATAAAGTTCATAAACCTAGTCTGATGAAGTCCCAAAGGATGAAACAAATCACACAAAAAACTTTTTCCA